TGAACTTGTCAAATGATGTTTTCTCAACAAGTTGGGTTAAAGTTGATGGTGTAGAATATAGAGCTGGACTTGTAATTTGCACTGCAGTGGAAGATGATTTGCCAGTTTTTTGTGAAATAAGTGATGTACTTTTGGTTGAAAATCTGATTTATCGATTAGCAAACAAGCTATTCACAGAGATTTTTGATGAACATCATCATGCATTTAGAGTACTGCGAAGTGAGGAAAGGTGTATTGTTAAAATGTCTAAGCTTAAATTTTATAGGCCGTTTGACATTCAAAGTTCTTATAGTGTTGCAGATGAAGGTTTGTATATTGTCCCTTGCTTTATAATTTAATTGAATTACACAATTGACTTGGAATTGGGAAAGAAAACAAATAAATGTTGTTGTTATGGAAATTAATTTGTGTGTGGATTTTATTTAACACATTTTAAAGTACATAGGTTAACACTGAACAGAGTGACACTACCACTCCCAAATGTAACTCTGACATATTTAATTTTATTCCCTCTTGGTGTTTCCTTAACACTTTTATGAGTTAAAAAAGGTAGCTCTGAAAAAGTGTTAAATATTTAACTATTTCAAAAGTGTTAATTTAACTCTGGAAAGTGTGGGGCTATATAAACTCTGAAATAGAGTTAAAATCAACTCTATGAGAGTCAAATCAACACTGGACTTTTTACTGTGTATGCAGGCTAGGCCCTCATTAAAATGCAAAGTGTGCTCTGTGAGGAAAAAAAAAGTTGCTGTGCTGTAAACATGGAACTGTGATTTGCAGCATCAAGGGCTGAGTAAAATGGAGTCAGGCTATCTCTCTCTCCCTCTCTGTACAGTGATGTCTCAATTATGGAGAACGAAGAAAAGTTTCTCAGGACCTGGCCTGAAGTGAAGCAGAGCACAACACAACAGGATGGAGATGGCTTTTAAATTATGCAACTTGGAAAAGAGAACTACTGTTAGACTTTCAGCCGCAAATAATCTCTCTGTCTTTCTCTTCTGTGTAACCCCCCATCCAGTGTCTGTCTCTCTCTCTCTCTCTCACACACACCAAGTGTCTTTTTTGTACTTATTTACAGAGTGAAGTCCTACCTCACTTGTCCCACAGCATTAAATATGCAGGGGAATGCTGTCGTGTTTAATGCTCTGGTCCACAAAGTGCAACAGGGCTTAAATGTGATGCTAATAGAAAGCGAGCAGACCATTTAGTGAAAACAAAGCATTTGCTGTGGTGATTTATTAAAACGCAGAGGCTTCGCAATGAGATGTTGTTCATTCAGTGTCTGGTAGCCTGTGACGTTCCACCTTCGGCTTTCTGTCTGGCTTTCCCATGGTGGCCCAGAGAGCTCAACACACTGCAATTTCAGAAACAAGGGTTGCCAATAATCTGTATCCTGAGTGTTCTCAAACTTTATTTTGTGGGTCGGACGAGGACATGTCTCAGACTGCAGCCTGAGAGCTTCAGGTGAACTTAGGGAACCTGCTGCTGTAACTGTGCAGTCATGCCCGACAGCCAGAAACTATGTAGCGGGTGGCGCCTCAGGAAGAAAGCCGTTCTCTCCTCATGGGTCCATGGCACTTTCATACCTCTAAAGATAGAGTTGCAACAGCAAAAGGTCAAAAACAATACCAGGTCATGTAACTCATGTTTTCTAAAGGGAACAACATGGTTTATTGACTTGAACAACTTCACAATCATATTCTGTGTATTGTAAATCAATGTATGATTATATAAAATACTGTAATATGTTAAATATTTGCAGTACCGAATTAAGGAAGAAATTGTTTAAAGTGAAAAATACACCTTCTGTGATAGCCATCATATCATGTTTTGTTTCTGACTTTAAGTTAGAGATGAAACATCGATCCATCTAAGCATTCACTCACTCTGTTAAATGAAACAATTAGTATATGAATGTAGCTTACATAAAAGTGTTGTCAATGTATGTGATAAATGAAGCTTGATAAAAGTAAGTCAGTGTCTATATATCCATCCATTATCTATACTGCTTATGCTTATCTGTTCCCACACACAAAAATAGACAAATAAGGCCACACACATACACACAGACAACCTCCACACTTGTGCGTCACCTTGTATTAGCCTACATTGTATAAAGCTGTCTGACATTTGTTACTATCTTTGTGTTTGCTATCCAGTTAATGCCATTACTGTTCAGTTAATGCCATTACTGTTTGGTTAAGTGCTTTAGATTGTAATAAATCCTGGTATAGCTTGATCAGTGGCATTTTGTGCTTTTTCCTTTTTTTGCTTTTGTTAGCCAGCCTCTGCTGTAGAAAGAACTCCGGATTTCCTTTAGTTCACTACCATTCCATTGATGTTAAGTATAGTTGTAATACATTATAGATAAATGTAAACATATTTTAAATGATTTTTCATCTATTGTGTAATTTTAATTATTAATTAAAACATGAGCAACAAGACAAGAACAGACTTTTTTGTCCCAAGGAAACATGCCTTATTGTGCACGACTTGTAGTCTTTTCATTTTTTTTGTAAGGGGCAAAAATCTTTTCATCCTGTTTGTTTTGACCATTTTCTTAAGTTATATTACAATGTATTACAGTGGGCTCTCACAGTCACTGTAAGAAGCTCATCAACATCTACAAACAGTGGAACCTGCAATATTGTTTTTTATTCTTTTTTGTCTTACAATATGTAATACCTGATAATCTTCTACTAAAGAAATCAAATGAAATGAGCAAGAAATTACCCAACACAGTGGGAGAAAGTGCCATGGCAACCCATGAACATATGTAGTAAAACAGATCAATCTGATCTATAGCAGGACAGTGTGGTATTTGTACTGTTTGCATGTGCTGTGATCTCTCAGGATGACAGTCACCCCCTGGTGTTATTCTACACAATACATGAACAGCATATAAAGAGTAGACATAGCCCTAAAGAAATGAGTTCATTGTGTTTTTTTTAAATTACACATGAAGATAAAATGCGATGAAACATGAAAAAAATACATCACAGAGCCTTTCTGATAGCTCACATCAGAACAAATTGTTAAATATTGCCTTTATTATTCTTTCTTTTTCCCGGCAAATTGTGTGTGACGTCTCATGTGTAGACGCTGTGCCCGCTCATGCAAAATAAATTCCATGCATATTTAAGAGGAATGCAAATGAGAGTGCATGATGAACAGGGCTTTTAGCTTGAAATTTAATTACAAGTGTAGTCCCCTTTGCAAATGAGTTTACTTTTCCTCTCTGTCACTTTTTCCCTTTTGCTCTCTTTCAGTTTGCATGTCCCCTGCAACCCATTATGTGAGTCCATGTCATGAATTCGAAATTTCTGGCATGGCAGCTAGAGAAAGAAAAAAACAAAACAAAACAAAGCAAAAAAACAAAACAAAAAACCCAAACCCAAAACCAAAAAAAAAATCCTGCCATTCCAAACGCTCATCTCATATTTTATACAACAAAGTAGCTGTTATTTGCAGAGAAAGAGAAGCACATACAGGGGCTTCAGCTGTCTTTTCCATCTGATTTTCCTGCTGTTGTTTCTGATATTTCCTAGAAACTCAAAGTGGAGGTTTTATTTCTTTGTGGCGTGACTCACCTTGGCCCAGACACAGGGAGGACAGCCTGTCAACTGCCTCTCCACCACATCCACTGATTCTCTTTACTGGGGTTGGTTGGTGTGAGCCCTCCCACCCCTCCCCTGCCTCATGTGGCCTAGTTTTTCAACAACCCTTATACTATGTGACTGCTCATTACCACGTTCTGACCAGAGCTAATGCAAGAAACTTGACCCATGAGGTGAGTTCAAGGACTCTCCAAAGTCCACAAAGCACTCCCTTTTTCAGCTCCTCTCCTCATACTTCCTTTGCCAGCTCCCACGGTTTTGTCCTACCAGTTCTCTGCCACTTCAGGGCCTTTTGCTCCTCCACAGTGTCTGATCCAATGCCTTATCTCTCCCTGGGCACCCCCTGTCCCCCACCCGGCGGCCAACACAACCACCGTGAATGTGTTATTTACAGGCTTATGCCACCAGAGAGCCTGGACAAAATCAAATCCTTTGAAAGTTGAGTTCTCCGTGCTATAAATTTCACATTAAAACAATAGAACCCGGATGCCAAGTCGTCATAAAAGTGAATGCGATCCTCATGTAAGCCCCAGCCAATTTATATTACCAGGCTACTTTATGGAACTCAATGACCAGCAGGACCCTTCAGGGGACAGCACAAAGTGACCCTCTAACTCTTTCTCGGGGAGAAGTACATTCGACATCTTATGCTGCTTTAGGTCTTTGCAGTGCATCTTCTCCACAGTACTGGGATATTGAGACAAGCCTCGTAAATATTTCTTAATCTCATTCTCTGTAGCAAAGGGCAGGGCGACAGCTCTCGAGACTGGGCAGTGAGAAATCGCTTCCTCCATCACTACTAATAGTGGGTCCTGTTTGATGCAGGGTGGAGTCTGGGACTGGAGGAGGGTGAGTGATCAGTGCAAAGAATGTCAAGTACTTCCAATAGCTTGGTGACCAGACATATTTGTGAGTGGTCACCTTTTATAACAGTAAACCAAAATCGTTTTTCATGTCCCTAACATGTCAAAAATGCATTTACCGGGATTTCAAACTGCACCATCCTTTGCTATCTCAACACTGCCCACATCATAAGTTTGTTACTGACTGCCAGATCACTCTGGTTCCAGGTCATCTCACAGAACTTTTAAGGTCTTACAATTCAAATAGCCCTAAGTTAACCAGATGTTAACCAGCCTCACACTAAATGTATTTATATAAAAATGTAGGATATGTTATGAAACCAAATCTATGTTTTTAGATTTAGAAGATGCCTCTCAACCTCTCTTGATCTAAACGACTCCTGAACCACATTAGTGAACGAACCATTAGCCACCTGTTGTTCAGCTGACTCGGGTGTTTGTCTCAAATTAATTCATCCATGGGCATTTCCAACCAAAACCACATAAAACCAGTAGGATGACCTTTGATTTCATAAATTACCCTAAAAGCTTGAAAAGACTTGGCACAAATCTAAGCTCCATATAAAAGACTGTAACCTAGCCTATATAAGGATGTGACATTGGTTACCATAATCAGGGTTCATTAATTTTCCAGTTATCCTTAAGCTAAGGAATAAAGCTTGTGTTTGCTATCTTCAAAAAATGGCAGTCAATCTTGTAAACTTCAAAAACACAAAGTGAAACACTACCAATATAATGAACAGTAGACTCTATACCCTCATCTACTATGCTTGGACTAAACAAGATATAATTTTATATTTCATAACAAAATTCTCTTTTGTGACATGTTTTTCCTCCCAATCACGCCCCTCCAGGCGTCACTGTCGCTGCCCACGTGGGCGTTGAAGTCCCCCAGTAGAACAACGGAGTCCCCAGTCGGGGCCTTTTCCAGCACCCCTCCCAGGGACTCCAAGAAGGCCGGGTACTCTACACTGCCATTCGGCCCATAGGCACAAACGGAAGTGAGAGACCTATCCCCGGCCCGAAGGCGCAGGGAAACG